AATTGGTAAATTTCAAAGGAACGCATGTTGATAATGCAGGTTAGTATATGTATAATGTGTTTTGCCTCTTGAAAAGGAGATGAGATTGACCGGTAATGGGTCGGATTGTTTAATATTATGTTGTAATATTGTTGAGAATGGAGAAAACTTGTTTTTGAAAACTTGTATTTAATTTCGGGGACGAAATTCTTTAAGGGGGGGAGGTTATAGTGATCCTGGTTGTCCCTTTACTGTTCAGTTGTATTCCGGACTTGGTTCCGTGGAGTTGGTAGTTGTATCTATCTTGTTGTCGTCCTTTAATTCCATTTGTTTGAGTTAAGGATGTGTTGGGCATGTTTCGAACAGGTGGGTTGAACCTTGGTCTAAAATCTTGTTGCCAGGTTTTTGGTCGTTCCGCTCGAGCGGATATTGCACACTCCCAGTATTTCGTGTCCCTACAAAACTTCTGCAGGTGTGATTTTTACGCTCGAGCGGGTTTCTTTACGCTCGAGCGGTCGCGCTCGAGCGGGTACTCCGGCGCTCGAGCGGGTAGTACTTTTTGGTATAAGTTCTGGGAGGGGAAAATCTACGCTCGAGCGGACTGGTTTTCGCGCTCGAGCGGATGTACTTTATTCTTGTGTCTTGGCGCTCGAGCGGGCCTTCTTGCCCTCGCGCGTACCTAGGTTTTTGTTCTTGACGCTCGAGCATTGTGTTCTCCGCTCGAACGGGAATATCGTATATCAGTTGGCAGCTGGGCATTTTAAAATCACTTTTTACATTCTCTCTTTCTCTTACTTTCTAAAAAGATATTTTGAGAGCTCCTCTCTCTAGAAACTCCCTTCTCTCTAGGGTTTGATCTAGTTAGAGTGTCTCCCTATCCTCCGGCCTTTGTAAAAAGTGTGTTGATCGTTGAGGGCTCCATTTTGATCTGTGGATCTTTGAGTTTGGAGCATTTTGATTTTCTTCGACTTCCCCGTTTGAGCTCTAACTTCGAGGTAGGGATATCCTCCTCCTTCTCATGAGTTTTGTCTTTGAATTTTAGCATTTTGATGAGTTGGGGGTTGTTGGGTAATTTTGAGAAAGTTTGGGCCTTTGTGTAACTTTACAAAAGTTGGGATTTTGTTTATATAAACTTATGTGCATGTTTGGCATTGAGAAATGAGATCAATATTGGATTATTGGTGAAAATGGAACCTTAGGGTTGTGATGTTAATTATGGGAAATACACTAATTACATTGATAAATTAATTGGTATAATTAATTTGAAGAAAAGAGGAATTAAATTGAGAATGTTGGAATTGGATGTGTATGGGATTAAAGGGTGTAGTTAGATTCGTTCATTGCTCACCTAGTTAAAATGTTGATTATATATCCATTTGGTGCATTTATTTTCAGTATAGAAATAACTGCTTTGGGCTATCGGTGGAGGATAGTCTTGATTGTTGTAGACACTGCATAATGATTAGGCAAACTAAAACTAATCGATTGAGTATGCTATTGAATATAGTGATTGGAATAATATATTAATTCTATGTATTGATTGATTGTGTATGATCTATGTTTATATACATGTGTTGTGTGGGAGGGGATAGGGGATGTACTCCACGGTTTAGGGGAAGATAGGGGATGGACCTCTAAACCAGATTTTGTGTGACATTGATACATCGCTATAATGTGTATCAAGTGTTGATTATGGAAGTGTTTGAATTGATTTGATATAGCACTAAAATGTATATTGTTATCAATTGTGAAGTATAGAAGTGATTCTATGTTATGTTGATACAGCACCGAAATGTGTATCTTTCGCAAAGTGTGGGAATGGTTTATGTGTTATTGATACAACATTAAAATCTGTATCCCTCATGAATTTCGAAAGTGTTTTAAAGATGAGTCTAAATCTCATTAAGTTATCTGGCTAGGTGTTGAGCCTTGTTTTCAAACTCAAAGTTGAAAAAGACATGGGAAATGAAATGTAACATGGACTTAATGTCATGAAACGGAAATGTGATATATGCGGATGTATCTGTGTTGGCCATCTATCAACTGCTAATCTTTTAGTCATTGTTCATAGCTGGTTTAGTGTATTTCTACTGGACTGTGGCTCACCCTTTATGGGACATCATTTTCAGGTACAGGTAGCATGCCACCTCCAAGGACATAGCTTGGGAGGCAAGAGGCAGTCAGGTTTTTGTCGTTTTGTGATCTTTTCGATGTATTACATGTAAATTCAAGCCAAGGGCTTAATGTGTAGTTGAGTTAGTACTCCTGTTTTGTAACCAAGTGTTAACTTGGAAAGCTGTAAGCCCATAGGGCATTTGCTTTTGTTGTTAACATGTAACACTCATTGTAAAGAGCTATTCTGATGAACGGAAGGATATTTATCTTTTATACCAATGCATGTCTAAATTGATGGGTTTTAATGTTATTTTTTGAGGGCGTTACATGCGACACTTTAACTTTTATAACATAGCCACGTCTTTCTTGCTATAGCAAGGTTTAGACCTGTGAATTTGAGAAGTTATTGTGCTTAGATATTTGATAAGATATGTTTGCATGATAATTTGAATTGTGTTGAGTATAACCGGCTGTGATAAGAAGTTATGCATATAGTGACCCCCCTAGAATTATGTAAGGAGTTAATTAATTGTGATTTGTTTCCTACTGATTGTTTAAATGGGGGAAAGACTATTACATTAGCTATGTTTGGAAGTTGGTTATTGACCTTGAAACAACATACAATTAATATGATTTTGTGGGCGGAGAAAATTACCGACGACTTCTGATAATGAACCAAGGGAACTATTGATGATGTTTAATGAGTATTGTTTATGTGTAATCGAAACTTGTTTATGGGAATCTGTAATCTGTACTCGGTACTCTGTAATCTGTAGTCTGTTTCGTTTATGTGTAATCTGTAATCTGTAATCAGGATTTCTTATAAGGAACGGCTGAACGACATGAAGGACTCCGCTCATATTACGTATCTATCCATATGATGCTCGTGAAAATATCGATAATCATTGACTCATTTGAATCGAAACTAAATGATTGGTAATCTGATAACTTACTCTAAGAATTAAAAAAAAAAAATCCTGCCTCTGTATATTAATGACTTAAAATTGAGAAATCATTTCTGTGATATATTTCTGTGTAAATCACTAGATGTTGGATATTGCAAATTGCCAACACTACAAAAAAACCAAGATTTAGTAGCGGCCAAAACTGTCACTAAAAGTAGGAAAAAGCGTCGCTAAAAACTAAAACACCTTTACCTGCGGTTGCAATAGTGGCGGCCAAACCGCCGCAATAGCCCCGTTGGCATATCCTTATAGTGACGTTTTTCACAAACGCTGGTATAGTTATTTTTATTGCGACGGTTGATGTAGTGGCAGTTACAAATGTCGCTATATCTTGAATTTACCAATTACTTGCTAACTTTATAGTGACGGGTCGACTGCTACTATATCCTTCACTTTTGCGGCATTTTGTAAACCGCTGCTATATTTTGACTCTATTCCATCAGTTTTACACTGTCGCTATAACCATAGAATTCGTTTCGAATTTTATTTACAGTGACGGTTATTAATCGCTGTTGTAGGCTATGTTTTTTTTTTTTAAAAAAAAACGATAAAAAACTACAAGATACAAGGGGTATACCCTAAGAGCTAACCAACTATACAAAGACACATAAACCAAAAAACAACAAAAGACAATCTAGACAGCAAAAACCATCATGTTCACACACCACATAAGCAAAGAGCAAATGAGGGCAAGAACAAGGCAAACAATACAAAAAAAAACCTAAGAGCAACATAACCTGGTTACATTGAAAAGATCCAAACAACAAAAGGAATTAGAAACAAAACCCAAAAGGCCATATTACAGGGACAATTTGATTACAAAATGATCAAAACAGACACTATAGCCCTGCTCACATTATATATCTATAACAACACTATTTTATTCTAATGGCTCAATACTCAATAATTGTAAAAGATAAAAGAGTCTGCATTTTCATAATCCCAAAATATCCAAAACACCTTAATTAAAAGGTTCATTACATAAGCCTATAATACAAAAAAGATCCAATGTTTCTAGCAAACTAATAGCCCACACTATAATCCAAAAGAAAAACTTGTCACATAACAATAGTACTCAAAAGTATTACTCATGACACCATTTTATAAAGATCTCCATGAAAAATGTTCAAATCGAGAAATGACGTCCATTGTTTGATAATTCATATTATCTTATTTCCTGTAATAAAAATAATTAAATGAGCATAAGTATCATTTTCAATTTTAAAATCTATAAAGAAAATTTAGACTACAAATAATTCTCAACAAGTCTTATTTATTTATTTTTTTTGGTAAGTATATGGTTTACATATCAAAAAATAAAGATTACAATGAAGTTGAAGATCATAAAGCCAAACATTAGTAGCAGCCACCAAATCAAGCAACCACTAGCAACATCCAAGGGTCTATTTTTAATTGTATATTACAGTTTGATACGTTGTTGATATTCAAATTTGTTCGATTGCCCAATTCTCTATTTCATTGGTTTGTTTGGTATTTTTACAGATGCCAGTAAAGGAAGCAAAGTAGAGAAGTCAACCTATCAAACCCCAATTTTGTCCAAACTAACTAACTAACAATTTATTGGTAAAGAAGTCATTAACAGTGGTTCTAAATTTGTGTCAATGTATGTGTATTGTAATGATGACTTACCTCGATTAGAAGGTTGAATTTCATGACTCCCAAAGGAGGATCTTTGATGTGTTCGTGGAGAAGCTTGGTCCAGAATGCCACTAGATCCATCTGTCGCCTAATTTATACAATAAAATTTACATAAGTATGCATAAATTTAGAAAATGATAACATATGATAAATACATCATATAAAAGAATATGTCACATGTAGTTATACCTGCAAATTACTAGAACTATGTCTCTGACTCATCAAAAATGCTACTTGCTCTTTTAAAGAGTTTATTACAGCATCTTGAGCTTGCAACTGAATACCTTGAGTTTGCAACTAATCACCTTGAGTTTTTAGTTGTTCCTTCAACTCAATTATAGTGTCTTTGTCTCCCATTCTCTCTTCATCAGAAACCATTCTTAAGTGGTCAAAATTATTACACATGAAGCCATGCTTGGAAGGAATAGGCCCAAATCCTAAACCTCGAACACGACCATGATGCTCTTTACCCATCACTTGAGAATAAATATCATTTGGTGACCAAGATATACGTCCACCAACATTTCCTTCGGAGCTACTTGGTTGTGAGCTCATCAAAGCTTCTAGTTTTTCCTATAGCATAAATGGGGGGGGGGGAAATAAGAAGAAAAGAGCGAGAGTGATTGTTTGCCACAAACACATTAGAATTTTGAAAATGTAACTTATTAAATGGGCATACAATTTTTGTAGCTGCTGCTTCATTGACTGGTGTCCCATCCTTCCTTTTGTGAAGCGGTATATATAATTTTGCTCGATCTAGTGCAATCTTATCTTTTTGCTCCTATGTAACAATCATATCGTTTGAGAATAAATTCATAATATAATGCGCTAACCAAATTCAAAATATAAAACAAGAAATGAAGTTTGAAATACCATATCATATGCATGTTGTGCATAAGTTTTAGATCCTCCTGTATCTGCACTTGTTTGCTCTCGCCTGCTTTCCTTATTGGTTGTACTATGTTCCTTCACTCATAAATGCATAACAATATGTTAAAAAAAATGATATAATGACATTGTATTATTTGATAGAAAACATACATCTATGCATACCTCTCCTTCCTTTGAAAAACAATACGCGACAAGGTTAGCATAGTGCTCATGGTTAACTATTAAAGGCGCAGTAGCTACTATCTGTGCTGCTGTCTTTGTCTCATCATAGTACTTGGCTTTTAAACTACATTTCCAATTTCTCCATTTCTCTCCCATTGACTTCAATGTTCGATGCCTAATCATATCCCTTCTCTCATCTTGAGGAATGGCAAACTTGGACTACAATTGTATGTTTTTTCATGTTATGAACATTCTTAAAATTATCAATACAATAATATAAACTAAATTTGTGCATTTCTTTGCCTAATTCTCATATTTTTACATGGAGATAATGAACCACACTAATTTCATACTTCTTACTTCTAGACGACACCTATATCCTAATACAGGAAAGGAACTTTCAAACAATCCTAACAACAAACGTATGTCCTAAAAAGATTTATTCAATGAAGAAAAGCCTCAGCAGTTATATAATCAAAGATTTGAAAATTGTGATCATTCTATCTACATGCAAAAGCAGAGGAGTTAGGAATTTAGAAATTGAAGGACTGCCTATTGGGAACGATTTGAACTGCTTTATAGATTAAATTCTGGATTTTAATTTTTTTCTTTTCTAGGATGAGTTCTGATTTTTTGGGGGGGTAACATGTTATGTAGAGCGAAAGAAAAAAAATGAAAAGCAAGGTGGCTTAGATTCATAAGCAAACAAAAGAATGGAGTGACGATTGAAGCTAAATGAGAGGAAATCATTATGAAGACAGGAAATGGAACAGATACATTTCAAAGAAGCTTCTCAGTGCCTTGGATGTTAAAGTTGTTTGTCCTGGTTATATTGAAAAAAGGCCAACCTTTTGTTTTCATTTGTAAATCTGTGCTCATTTTCTGTCAATCTGCTCAGAAAATCAGTGTATTATTAGTATTGTCTTATTGTATATTGATATGAACAGCATATTTGATTTTGGATTAATGATAATGATATGATCAACAATGTGTTATTTGTTGTGTAAGAAAATTTAATCTTTGATTGTGCTTTTTGAAGGTCATTTGCAAATAAGCAACATATACATGCACATGTTGGTATTAGGAATAGAAACCAAATTAATGATTCAATTATAACTTAAATTTGTTATAAAATCTAAGCTTGTAGTTAAAGTTAATACAATTTTCTTTACTACTGTAGTAGAATTATCACAAAATACTTGTAGTTAGAAAATTACCTCGATAATATTCCAACAATCTTCTTTATATGGATCTGGCACTTCATGCCAATTTTTGCACTTAATTGGGCATAAGTGTGGCTTCCTAGCAATGATGCCTATGAAGCGACTGAATATACCACCCTCTATAGAAACAACCTACAAATTCTTGTTGAAGGTGAGCATAATGCATTCTTCTGGAGTCAAATTCCACACTTCAACCATACGTGTAATTCCCCACGTGTTTTGCTTGGTCGATTCATCTATTACAATACAACAATGAAATATATCATGGAAGTTAAGGGTGACTTGTAATTTCTACCTCAACTAAAAATCTAATAATACCTGTACGTTGCATTTCTTTTTCCCTTAACCAGTCCTCATCTAAATCATCTTCAAACTGAGGGTTAACCTCTAATTCTTGAGGTTGAGGATGTGGAGCATGTGATGAAGCATGTGAGGAGGGATGTGACCAACTAGGTTGTGAAGAGCCATTTGATCGACTAGGCTGTGAAGTTCCATTTACCCGATTAAGCTGTAAAGAGGCATTTGAACGACTAGGTTGTGAAGTTCTATTTGGCCAGTCCAGCTGTGGAGAGCCAATTGAGTGACTAGGTTGTGAAGTTCCACTTGGTGCGTTAAGCTGTGAAGGGTTATTTAGTTGGCTAGGCTGTGAAGAGTTATTTGACTGGCTAGGTTGTGACGAGCCATTTGATCGCTTATTTTGGGACTCATTCTCAAGATTGCAAGTTCTAAATCGTTTCTTTGCCATATCTGCTAGATAAACAATAGATGTAATTAATCAAACACAAAGATATTAATCAAATTAAATGAGCATTTATCATAGTATACTAAAGATATTAAAGAACATAAGCCATAGGAAAAGCTCATATACACCTCACAAGATTTTCTGTACACAATGCATGGAAAGAGGAACAGATCTGTTACAATGGTGGATTGGGTATAAATTTAGATTCTTGGAATGGAAAATATGGGATGTGTTTCCTTTTGCTGCACTGTGGTATTTGTGGAGCGGCAAAATGATTGTAAGTTCATTGGTTGTCAACTAAGGGTGCAGTCTCTAGTAAATGGTGTTTGATTGTCTTCGTACGGTTGTAGGGGTGAAGAAGGTGCCAATCCTAAGTCTGCTCTTGATTTTTTGGCAAAACACAGTCAGTGGGCTGTGGTGACATTAGGCCCTAATGGATGCATTGCAAAACATGGAAAAGAGGTTAGTGATATGTTATATTTGTCTCCTCTTCCATAGTTTTGGTTATTAGAAATATTAATATATAACCTAGTAATATATATAAAATATGTGGAACTTTGAAAGGTAACTATTCCATGGAATCTTATAATAATCTCTTTTCCAAAGGCACATGTGTACCCCTTATGGAATGGATATTATCATCCTAAACATTGTGAATCTGAATTTGTTATCTAATGATCATGGCAAGTACACAAGATTAACACAAGACATTTATTCTGTTTTAAGTACACAATATGCTCTCTTTTAGTATATAATAAGTCTACAGACACAAATCTAACTACAGAAACAGGTCTAAGTACAGAACATTAGCACTAAAAAAGCGCGCTTTTTTATTTTTTTTACTTTTTGGTAAGTAATGGATAGAATTTCATTACCTCTTTCAGATTGTTCGGGTTCTGGCAATTGGGGAGGCAAAGGCAATAGATGCCACTGGAGCAGAGGACCTGTTTGCAAGTGGGTTTTTGTACGGATTGGTAAAGGGGCTAAACCTAGAGGAATGCTGCAAAGTGGGCTTATGCAATGGTGGCTCTGTTATTCGGGCTCTTGGGGGTGAGGTCACACCAGAGAACTGGCAATGGATGCATAAACAAATGCAGACTAAGGGCCTCACTGTCCCCAGTAGTGATGAGAGATATCTCCTGTCAAAGAGGATTTTTTTAGGGTTTGGGTAATCATTATTGCTATTGTTTCATGAGTCAATGTTATTTGGCATTAATGATAGGCCAAATCAATTAACTAACCATGAACTAATCAATATTTTCACAGACCATAAGATTTAAACACTGAAGCCAAGCAAAACTGTACACATTTTGTGCCTTTCTTCACCAATAATACTAACCATTTAGGTTCAAAGTATGAATCAAGGTGATTAGTAAGGTAGATAAAGAGACATGCATGTGGATAAAGAACATAGCATGACAAGGTTCAACATAAGCAAATATAGCATGACAAGGTTAAACATAAGAATTTGCCTCTGTGCTGTTCATGTAAAATTGGTGAACATTGAGAAAATCCTCAAGGTACTTTAAGTGGCAAATGTGGGGCCTAACTTGGGACCAATACCTTATTTGTAAGTAATATTCCTTTTTGTGGGACCTTTTGGTCATTTAAAAAATATTTATAAAAACTAAGGGCTCTCTCATAGGCTCTTTTGATGTACATGGGTGGCATCCCCTTGATGCTAATTAATGTAGTTATTATTTACTAAATAAATAAATAAATGGTGTAGGAATTTACATAGCCTGCAATACATGTATACAAATATGTATGTGCATGTATACATATATTTACGTCTCGGAAGTTGTAGAAGTTCACTCTCAATTAGATCATAATTTTAACCACCAATGGTTATATTCAGAAGATGCCCAAACAAAATATGAGGTAAACAGAGATCTGCAAATGTTAACTACACAGATCAAACCTATGCATATGATGAGAGAGAGAGAGAGAGAGACCTCAAACAAAGTTAAATCACTACCACCAGTTATGTTCCAGACAATTCCAGTGGCCCTCTCTATGCCAATATCTAATAACGGTGATTGAACGACATTTAATGCAGCATCTCTTGCTCTGGACTTTCCTACACAAGAACAAATACCACAAGATAACTTAGAGAAGTTTGGCCACTCATCCTATTTCATCAGACTAAAACAAAGCCAAAAGCAAAATGCAGAAAAAAAAATAAAACAAAAATATATCTATCCATACATTTTCCTTTCTTGGCTTAATTAAGGTTACTTATATTACTTTTTTTTTTCTTTGATCGGCAAAAGAAAAGCTTTATTGATGTAAGAATCAAGTACACAGTACAAAAAACCATCAATAAAGAAAAGGAAACTGCAAAAGCATCATAATAAGCTAAATCGTCCTAACTAGGTTGGCACCAAAAACCCCATCCTATCATTTGCTAGCACCCCTAGAGTTGGTGAGAAACCAACGAGAAAACAAAGCAAATTGAACACCTACAAAACCAAATAGACTACTGCCAAAAAGCCCAGCCTATCATAATCAGACCGACCACTAAAATAGAACACATTAACTGAGCAGCCACCAACCAGTAAACAAAAATTGAGCAGACAAACAAAGCTAAGCAGACCAACCACTACAAGAGACCAAACAGAGCAGATAGCAACTAAACATAAACAGGACAGCAGCAAAGCAAGCCATATAACAGCAGCAGTAGCAGAGATTCACCACAGTAGCAAAAACCTCTATTGCATTGAGATTTCATCAGCAAAAACAGTACTGAATTAGTACTCTATCACCCCAAAGCAAAAGGCCATCACTACAACATTGCACTCAGCAGCACCAAGGATCACCACTAAACATATCAGGACAGCACTCAACAAACCAGTACTCACCCCAGTAGCAAAGAAACCTCTATTGCATACAGCAGCAAATAATCACCACTAAGCACCATCCAGCAGCAGCAGAGGTTCACCACAGTAGCAAAGAAACCAG